ATAATAATAATAATAATAATAATAGGTTGAAACGTGAATCTGTTATATAATACCAATCAATGTTTTTATAGTTTTTATAGACTGTGCCTAATGTTTTTGAATAATAATGTTGGAACTGCAGAGCTGGAAAGGGACCCTATGGATCATTGAGCCCAGCCCCTCTTAAAGAGGCACAGAGGGGAATCGAACTCCCAATCTCTAAGCCACTATTCAGCAGACGGGTGGTTGTCTTTATAGGGGATCCAACCGAGTTTTTTTAGGGCAGGATTTCAAGCAGGTAGTTGAACCCCAGCTCTGCAGAAAAAAATCTCTTGTCCAGTTGGAGGCATTTTTGAAAAACAGCTGCAACGTTCTCCTCCTTGATGGGTGAACTTTGTCAATCTCTTGTGATTTATTCTCGAAGGCTTTCACGCCCGGGATCTGATGGTTGTTGTGGGTTTTTCGGGCTCTTTGGCCGTGTTCTGAAGGTTGTTCTTCCTGACGTTTCGCCAATCTCTGTGATACTGGCCACAGAAACTGGCGAAACGTCAGGAAGAACAACCTTCGGAACACGGCCAAAGAGCCCGAAAAACTCACAACAACCTCTTTGATTTATTTAAAATATTTTTGCCCCACCTTTCTCCTTGAAAAAGGACCCAAGGTGGCTGACATCATGAAAAGACAACATTTCAAGCCGAAAACAACGCGTACGGAGATGAAGTTCTCAGGATGTTAGATCTCAAGCAATTCCTCTGCATCTTCAGATCTCCAGGCAGGCAGAGAAATCTCAGCAGGAGGAAGAGGAGGATTGTTGTGTTGTTATGTGATGTGACGTGGGTAGCATGCTTGGCCACCCGTCTCCAGCCTCCCTCCCAGCTCACATTGGTCCTGCATGCAAGTGTGTGCTCTGCTCCTCTGCCCTGGGGATGCATCGCAAAGCAGGGAGGGGAAGGTGGCCGTGGAGAGAGCCAGGGTGTCCCCTTCTGACATGGAGGGAACAGCAGGGCAAAGAGCCACCACCTTTGGGGCTCGTGAGCCCTGGATAAAGAAGAAAGTTATTTTCGGTGTGTTCTTCCCAGCCCACACAGAAGACAACCAACATTCTCCTTCTGAAAGACACTTTTTAGATTCTTAGGAAAACTCTCTCATGGGCTAAAGCATCCCATATTCTTATGCCCCCATCGTGCCCAAGCCATTGAGTCTTCTTAGGTGCATGAAGCCCTTCATTATCCAGGTCTTGGAAATTAAAGCCTTCGGCTTCCTATTTGGGCTTTTTACGATAATTCCATACCATATACAGGGTTGTTGGTTTTCCCCATTTCTTAGCTTTGGTGTTTCACAGAATGATTGCATTTATTTCCTGTGGTAGCAGACAATACTTCCCTCTCTGAGGTAGAGAGGGAACTGTTTTTCTTTTCCCTTCCTTTTCCCCCCAGTCAGTTAGTGTTCTGGCAGTGTGCGTGTGAGTTATGGAGTCAGAAGAGCACAGTTAATGTGAAGTGTTCTGTCAGCAATGGAACCAGTCAGTTAGTTAATAATAAAGTAAATTAAACAGTTAAGCTCAGTAATGTAACAAGGTAACATTTTCACAAAAATATTATGCTTGGGTTTTTTTATATATAAGAAGAACTGTGAGTAAACGGAAACCTTTTATTCTTATTCATATTAGAGTCTCTAAGTGAATGTATTCAAACAAATAAGTGCCACTTGAGGTAAACCAACAAATAATGGTGTGGTCTGTTCCTGGCAGAACCATTTTTATTTCCTGCATAATCAGAATGTTATTATTAAGGGTTACACTAATTTTTGCTCACATTAAACCCTCCAGTCTGTCTGGGGGGGGGGTCTTCTTCCCAGTCTTCAGAAAATGTAAAGCAGAGACACAGAGTCTAGAGAGAAACAGAAGTGCGGAGATGAGGAGATGTTGAGGACAGAGTCCTGGCAGCTGTATTGATTATGTGTCTGTCAACCAGAGCCATCCTTGGATTGGGACATTAAATGTGACATAACCTTCCTATGTCTTACTGTTTACCCAAGTCTTGTTATTTCTGTCATTCCTACAGAGAGAAAAAGACCTATTCATTTCTTCAGCTCTTTTGGAGGAGATGAACGTACAAGACTCTGTCGGTGCTGAAGCTGGGAAAGAATCAGATAACATGGAGGTGTGGAGCAACAAGGAATTCCCAGAAAGAACAGCACAAAGCAACCTTGATACAGACTCTCTTGGTCTAGAAGTCCAGTGCCAGCATTTTCGGGAATTCAGCTACCAGGAAGATGAATGGCCCAGGGCGGTTTGTAGCCAACTCCACCATCTCTGCCGTCAGTGGCTGAAGCCAGAAAAACACACCAAGGCTGAGATCCTGGACTTGGTGATCCTCGAACAGTTCCTGGCTGTCCTGCCCCCAGCGATGGGGATCTGGGTCAGAGAGTGCAAGCCGGAATCCACTTCCCAGGCTGTGTCCCTGGCGGAAGGTTTCCTCCTCAGCCAAGCAGCGGAGAAGGAGCAGGAACCGGTGAGAATTTCAGTCAGCCTGAGGGGCTGAGAATTTGCCTACTCCTTGATGGAAATTCTTCAGCCAAAGCATGCTCCCCATTCTTCTTAAAGCTGTCATCCTGTTCTGTACCATCTGTCTAATTTCTTTCTCCATCCCTGTACAGTGGTGCCTTGCATTATGACGTTAATTCGTTCCAGAGAAATCACTGTAGAATGAAAACATCGTAAAGCGGGGAAAAAAGCATTGAAACCCCTTCAATGTGTTCCAATGGGGTCAAAACTCACTGTCCAGCGAAGATCCTCCATAGGGCAGCTGTTTTCACTGCCTGTCTTGTGAGGAATCCGTCCCAGAAAACAGCGGGGAGCCATTTTTTTTACCTGGCAGCCATTTTGAAACCGCCGATCAGCTGTTTTAAAATCGTCATTTTGCGAAGAATCGGTTCCCAAAGCAGGGAACCAATCACTGCAAAGCAAAAAAAAAAACCCATTTAGACCATCGTTTTACGATCGCAATTGTGATCGCAAAAAGATCGTCGTAATGCGGTTTCGTCGTAATGTGGGGCAATCCTAAATCGAGGCACCACTGTATTTCTAGTCAAAATTTAGTTTCCTCAATTGCAGGAGTTTTCAGACTTCTTCTCTGGCTTCCCTCAGGCAGTGGATGCTCCCTCAGACCCAAGAGAGTGGCCTCTCCATCGGAAGGACAAGAAGGGTGGAGGAGTTCCCTTGCCCGGTAAGAATATTGTCAGCAAATTTCTCCTTGGTTTACATTTCTTATCTCTTTCCCAGGTCCATGAATTGCATTTTAAGCCCTGTGCCTTCACTTAGGCGTTTAAGCTTTTGTTAATGAAAACAATAAGAGAGACTTTTCCTCCTCCCCATTAACTTCAGAGTAGACTTCGGTCTAGATGGGTGGGGTATAAATTTAATAAACAAACAAACAAACGTAAGAGATAAAATGTTTTTGACAAAGGAGCCCCTTGGTCTCCCTTGCAGACTCTGGAACCACGCTGGGGACAGATCCTCACTCATTTCTTGGTGGAAGAATGGAAACAGTGCCTGGGCAGCCGGAAGAGGTAGGGGGAAATGAATGGGGAGATGTAGGGGGGGAGCCTTGGCCCATCTCTCCGTCATACACTTCCCGGAGCTAAAAAAAGTCCTCCCTGTTCCGTTTGCTTCTGTAATAGCTTCTCGTATGAAGGCTGGCACAAGGACAGATGGAAGGGTTGAATCCTGTGTACAGTAACCCTCTGCTGTCTCACTGGCATCTGTTACAGGAATGTCATTTTTCAAAAAACGAAGTTTCCTTTTACTCCAGGATCCCGTCGCTCTTGAAGACGTGGCTGTGTCTTTCACGGATGATGAATGGGCCTTGCTGGATCGAGGCCAAAGGGCTCTGCACTGGGAAGTCATGGTGGAAAATTTTGCTAACGTGGTGTCTCTGGGTAAGCTTTTGTGTACGTTCCTTTGTGGCCTTTTTTTCAGGGAGGTAACCAGGTTTGCTTCTTTTAGGATATAGGAAGCAGCAAACCAAGCGAAAAATAGAAACCCTATATTATGGCATCTCTATGATACTCTCATTTATCTCCCATGTCTGAGGAAGAACATGGCATACAGTCACGAAAGGTAGCTCCCAGATTTGCTCATTTAAAAAGTTTAATGATGAATTAAATATATTTATTTATTTATTACAGTTCTGTACTACCAGTCTAGCGAGGGTCCACTATGAGTGGTTAAATTAAAGATCAATTGATGTTAACCAGCTTACGTCTAACACAACCGAAACGTCATATTATGTAGCCTGGTGGCACCTCCTTCCCAAGGGTGTCAAGAGACAGAGCCAAATGTGTCCTGCGTGTGATAGATGCATGGCTAATTGTGACTAAGTTTATAGTTAGTTATAGGGACGTGTTGGCACTGCGGGTTAAACTGCAGAAGCCTCTGTGCTGCAAGGTCAGAAGACCAGCAGTCATAAAATCAACTCCACGCTACAGAGTGTGCTCCCGTTGCTTGTCCCAGCTCTTGCCAACCTAGCAGTTTGAAAGCATGTGAAAAATGCGAGTAGATAAATACAGTGGTGCCTTGCTTGACGACGTTAATTCGTTCCAGCGAAATCACTGTAGAGCGAAAACATCGTCAAACGAAATTAAAAAAACCTATTGAAACGCATTGGAAACCGTTTAGTGTGTTACAATGGGCTGAATACCTGCTCGTCCAGCAAAGATCCTCCATACGGTGGCCCTTTTCTGGTACCTGTTAAGTGAAACATCAGTCCTAAAAACAGTGGGGGGTCATTTTCTTCAGCCAGCGGCCATTTTGAAACCCAACGATCAGCTGTTTGCTGATCATCGTAAAGCAAAAACCAGTTCCCGAAGCAGGGAACCGATCATCATGAAACAGAAAAACTTCATTTAAACCATTGTTTTGCGATCGCAAAAGTGATGGGGGTTCATTTTCTTCAGTCAGCGGCTGATCATGGTAAAGCGAAAATCGGTTCCCGAAGCAGGGAACCGATCATCGTAAAACGGGAAAACCTCATTTAAACCATCATTTTGTGATCGCAAAAGTGATCACAAAAACTTCAACGTTAAGCGGATTCGTCGTAGAGCGGGGTAATCGTCCAGCAGGGCATGACTGTAGGTGCCACCATGTGAGCACCGCCCCCTAGAGTCGGACAAAACTGGACAAATTGTCAAGGGGAACCTTTACCTTATAGTTAATTGGTTCTATTCCCAAATTTGAGATTGATTTTTCATTTTTAGTTAATTGTTTCTGTTCCCAAATTTGAGATTGATTTTTCATTTTCACTGAAGCTGGGTTTTAGTGTTTGTTTGTTTTTCTTTTAGCTTCTGGTATGAGAGAAGACAGGTCCAAGGAAGACCAGGACGAGGTGTTTTTGGAAAACAGCACTAAGGAAGAGGGGAAACCCCAGAGGAGAAAAGCTGAAATTGAAGAGAAAAGGAATGAATCTTTCTTTTCTCCACATGAACATTTTCATCTAGCGCCATTTGAAGAAGAAACACATCAAAGCCATGACAGTAATCCACGCGCGGCGTGTGACAAAAGGTTCAGCTGTCAAGCCGGCCGAAATACTCACTGGAAAACCCACATCGGGAGGAAACAGTTGGACTGCTCAGAATACAGGAATCATTATTGGAATTGTTTGTCCCCTGAAAAAGATTTGAGAACACACGGGGAAGGAAAACCATTTGGATGCTTGGATCGTGAGAAGAGCATCAGTCGAAATGCACACCTTGCTCCCCATAAGAGAATTCAGGTGAGGGAGAGACGGTTTCAGTGCTTCGAATGTGGGAAGAGCTTCAGTCGGAGCACGCACCTCGTTTTCCATATGAGAATCCACACAGGGGAGAAACCCTTTGAGTGCTTGCAATGTGGAATGAGCTTCAGTCGAAGCACAACCCTCGCTAACCATATGAGAATCCATACAGGGGAGAAACCTTTTAAATGCCTGGAGTGCGGGAAGAGCTTCAATCAGAACTCAAACCTAATTTCCCATATGAGAATCCACACAGGGGAGAAACCATTTACTTGCTCCGAATGCGGAAAGAGCTTCAGCCGGAGGCCACACCTCATTTGCCATCTGAGCATCCACACTGGGGACAAACCCTTTAAGTGCTCGGAGTGCGGAAAGAGCTTCAGCCGGAAGGCAAGCGTTGCTTCCCACATGAAAGTCCACACCGGCGAAAAGCCATTCAAATGCTTGGAATGTGGAAAGAGTTTCAGTCAGAGGGGGAACCTTGCATCTCATATGAGAATCCACACCAGGGAGAAACCATTTAAATGCCTAGAATGTGGAAAGAGCTTCAGACAGAGCACCAACCTAGTTCGCCATGTGAGTATTCACACCGGGGAGAAACCCTTTAAGTGCTCGCACTGCGGGAAGAGCTTCTGTGAACGAAGCAAACTTCGTTCCCATCAACGAATCCACACAGGCTAGAAACCGTTTGGATACTTGGAATGAGGAGGCCACTATCAAGAGACTCGGATGTTGTGGAGTAAGTGATTACAGGATCCATCTTCACGAAGGAAAGGCAAAGGTGTCAGAAAAGGGTGCATTTTATCCTCTTAGCTGTTCAATCTATGCGGAATATATCACACAGAAAGCCGGATTAGTTTCAGATGAAGTAGAGAGTGGAAATTGTTGAAAGAAACATCAATAATTTAAGATAGGCCGATGGCAGCATTTTACTGGCATAAAGTAGGAATGACTTGAAATTACTTTTAATAAAAGTAAACGAAGGAAGTGCTAAAGCAGGACTGCAGCTGAAGAGTAAGACCAAATTCGTGATGACAGAAGAACTACACAACTTTAATGTTGACAATGAATCGATTGAAATAGAGTTTTTGTATACCTTGGTTCAGTCCTCAATGCAAATGGAGGCTATCGTCCAGAAATCAGAAGAAGACTGAGATTCAGGAGGGCAGCAAGGAAGGAACCAGAAAAGATCATCAGGCGTCACTGGAGACCAAGACCATCCACACTCTTGTCTTTCCAATCACCATGTATGGGCGTGAAAGCTGGACAGTAAAGAAAGCTCACAGGAAAAACATTGATTTGTTTGAAATGCGGTGCTGGAGGAGAGCTTTGCAGATAGCCTGGACTGCAAGAAAGACGACCAAGTGGATCCTAGATAAAAATCTAGCCTTAACTATTTCTGAAGGCAAATTTGAGGTGGTCCTACTTTTGGGCACATCATGAGAAGACAGGATTCTCTGGAAAAGGCAATAATAGTGGGACAGGTGGAAGGCTACAGAAAAAGAGGCAGACCAAATACAAGATAGATTGACTCCTTAAAGAAACCACAGGTTTTCATTTACAAGAGCTGAGTCAGGGCTATTGAGGGCAGAACATTGTAGGCATTGCTCCTTCATAGGGTCATTCTAAGCACAGAACCACAATAATTATATGTGCATGCGTACATATACACTTCCCTCCGTCTTTCTCTTTCCCTTCGCCCTTCGAAGATAATTATAATAATTGTCTCCAAAAATCGTTAATATTTTAAATAAACATGCTTTAAAAAAAAACAAATACACTCTGAAGGCCTGAGATTTCCTCCCTATCCCCTCCCCCCAAAAAAAGATAAATGGGATCCATTTTGACTTTGTGAAGAAAGAGTTCTGTTTCTACCCCACAACGAAACAACCACTGCCTGTATCTGGATAGGGTAGCTTGGCAGGATTGAAACAGAGAGTTTTCCATAGTCTGCTTTCCTGAAGCTTGGAAGAAGAATGAGGCGTGATGGGTTGCTAGCAGGGAAAGGCCTGGACCTTGAAAAATTGATATACTGTATATCCGGGGTGTAGAAGTTACATGAGTTGGCTGAACCTCATGCAAGGACACTGTGTCATTTCCCCTCCATCTTGCTCTTAACTTGGAGATGCACTCTGTGTATGCTCTGAAGATATGCAATACTCCCTATGCTGGTAGCAGGCATAAGATAGAAAAATAAGCTTTCTTATTTGCTTATTGGGCGCTTCTGCTTTCCACCAAATTTGTCTCAAGCCTTTATTTATTTATTTATTCATTCATTTATTATTTATTTACAGTGTTTCAGTTTTTGTTTTTATTTTTCTGGTATTTTTATCTAGCGGCCGGTTCTGATATTACACTTTCACAAATATTTCCTATACAGTATTTGTAAACAAATTGGGGGGGAAACAAAGCCAAAGAATATTTTCCACTTAGGATTTATGAGAAAATGTTGTAAAATCAGAAATGTTGGTTGCTCTCAAAATGCCCTAAAGAAACTTTGGACAGTAACCTGGTATCATTTAAGTCGTTTAGGCGTTACCTAGAACTTGTTTTGTAGCTAGTAGCTACATGATTTTTCCTCAAATTTATGTTGTGCTGTCAAGTCAGAACCAACTTATAGGGACCCAAACAGGGCTTTTAAGGTAAATTAGGTATTTAAGGAGTGGTTTTACCAGTTCCATACCCCCAGAGAATTTACATGGTGGAGTAGGGATTCGAACACAAGCCTCCTAGGACACACCACAATGGATATTGTAAAAAATAAACTAGTTACAGATATTTACATTTCTTGTAAGAGTTGTTACTTCCAAGCTCTGTTTTACACAGTAATATGTGCAGCCGACACCTCTAGCATTTCTTCCAACACTTTCCAACAAGACCATCAATTTTATATCTGAATGCATTATGTTAGAAATCAAACCTATATTTAACATTTTTCTTACTCAAACTTTTGTCCACTGCTCTAATTGTAAAATATTAAGCCATCCGTTCCTAATATGTCATTTATTTGCTCTTTAATTTGAGAAATTTGTGTTACAAAAGGGAAGTACTGTATAGATTAAAATAATGAAAGATACAGTAAGTAAAAATTCTAAAATATAATGTTGCTGGAAGCAGAAGATCAACAGGATTTTCTTAAATTGTTAAGGGAATATGACTTGAAGTGACTTAGTTTGGAGATGGCAATTAATTCCGGTGAAATTAAATCAAATAAATAGAAATTGTCTTAAGTTGTGTTGGAAAGGATGTCAGAAAATTGGTACTATTTCCATGCAGGGTGGGAAAGTGAGAATGCATTGAAGTTTTGGCATCTGGATTTTATGGAAATAAAGGAAACTACCGTACTAAACAAAATTGATAGGTATGTCCTAAAATAGCACTTTTATCAATATTTGATAAGGAATAATGTAATTGTTCAGCTAGAGAATTAATTTCAAATTTATTAACAGCAGCAAGATCAATGATAGCGAAGAATTGGAAATGTATGTTTTCCAATTAAATTAATGGTATAAAGAAATATGGAACATAATTATTCATCATAAGCTAACTCATATTAAAGAGATTGTTAAAGAGGTATACTTTCATAGCTGTCTGAGAATTTATTGATTTTGTGTGCTAAGGGAAGCACAGTCAGAAGGGTTGTTACATGAAGGAAGGAGAATTGCGTTTATTGCATATTCAGCGTCAATATATTTTATATTATTTTGAAGTGTTGTGTTATTAATTCCTTTATAGGCTTTGTTATGTTTATAATGCATTGTTATGCGTTGTTTGTTATTAATAAATAAAAATGCTTGAAAAAAGAAATGAAACCAGATTTCTGACTGGAAAAAAAATTCAGAGGAGAGGTTTTGGATTGGAAATTCACTGAGAGCATAACACACTTATGACTCTGGAGGAACCATGAGTCTCAAAAATCGAGTTTTAAAAAAGGTTGGACGGAGGAACGACAGCCAGGAGCAATATAATTCATAAATCAAATCAAATTAAATTACACAGCAAGTCGGTAGAGGAGTAGAATAATTCAAAAGAAAACACCTTTAAAAATGAAATTAGAAGAAAATAAAGCAAAGGAAAGAGAACAGTGATATTGAGGGGCTGTCACTTTATGATGCACAGAATGTGCTTTTTTATTTATTTTATTTGATTTATATCCCGCCTATCTAGTCAACTCAGGACCACTCTAGGCGGCTAACAACCAAAAAATAATAAATTGATATAATTTTTACTTTTTAATTGATATACTTTTTCTGTCCTTGGCTTTTACTCCCTTTTTATGGAGAAAACCAAGATCTAGACATTCATTTGGTCCAAAAGACGCCTGCTTCTTGGGAGGAAAGCGATGACAAACCTAGACAGTATGTTAAAAAACAGAGACATCACCTTGCCAACAAAGGTCCCCTTAGTCCAGAGGCAAACCTTTTTCGGCCGAGTGCCCAAAATGAGGGGGTGGGGAAGAAACCAGTGGCTGCCATGCCGCCTGGAAGACCAAAACCGGAACAAGAAGTGGCAGTTTCAGGAGGAATCATGGGAATGGACAGGAAGTTAAAGGACCCAGAATAGGAAGAGAAAGGGGGAAACCCAGCTGCAGCCACTTCAAAAGGGCTCACGTGCCAGAGGAAAGGGCTTCGTGTGCCAGCTATGGCACACGTGCCATAGGTTCGCCCACACTGGCTTAGTCAAAGCTATGGTTTTTCCAGTAGCAACGTATGGAAGTGAGAACTGGACTGTAAAGAAGGCTGACCGCCGAAGAACTGATGCTTTTGAATCGTGGTGCTGGAGTAGGCTCTTGAGAGTCCCCTGGACTGTAAAGAGAACAAACCCATCCGTTCTGAAGGAAATCAACCCTGAGTGCTCACTGGAAGGACAGATCCTGAAGCTGACGCTTCAATACTTCGGCCCTCTCATGAGAAGAGAAGACTCCCTGGAAAAGACCCTGATGTTGAGAAAGTGTGAGGGCAAGAGGAGAAGGGGACGACAGAGCATGAGATGGTTGGACAGCGTCATCGAAGCGACCAACATGAATTTGACCAATTAATGACGGGAGGCAGTGGAAGACAGGAGGGCCTGGCGTGCCCTGATCCATGGGGTGATGAAGAGTTGGACACTGACTTAACGACTAAAAAACAACAAAAAGGCTTCTTTCCACTTTTCTGACTCTGGGTATCGCAAAGGCGCTTGGGAAAGTGAGTTTGAAAGTGAGGAAGAAGCCAGTGATAGGACCTCGCTCTCCCCCTATCCTGCTATTATTCACCCCTCCATTGCTCAGGTGCCAGACTGGGCTTCTTTTGGGTCGACCCCAGATAGTTTGCTGCCTGAGGCCACGCAGAAATGATCCCAAGCTATAAGATATTAGTACCCTGAGTTTGGGAAAGGAGCTTTTTTAAAAAGTCTCCAAAGGAAAGGAAGGTTCCTTGGGCACTGGAGGGAGGTTAATCTGCAACTTCCCCTCCCGTTCCTTCCCGGAGGACTAAAAAAAAACCAATCATATTTTGCTGCTTTTTAATGACACCACCACAACTCTGCCACCTGAGGCAGTGGCCTAACTCTGCCACAGCATGCCAGCCTTGGGGGCAGGTGTTTGGGTGTGCAGACGCGCCATTTCCACAGCAGCTAAATCCCTAACTTTCCTCCTGCCTGGAAATCCAGGAAGCCAGGCCCCCCCCCAGCAGTTTT